ATATAATATAAGAAATAACTAAATACTAATAAATATAACTAAATATAATAATAAAATATAATAATAAAATAATTAAAAATCTATCTTATAATAGTGAAAATTAATACAAATAATATAGTAGAAACAATAATAATTATAAGATTAAAGCAGTTTCAACTAAATATCAGTATGCCAGAATATATATTAGTAGCAAAAAATATAAAAAAGAAAAAAGTTAAAAATAGAAATCTAAGAGCTAAAGTATTATTATATACAAAAAGCCTAGGAATATATATAGCAAAAAATAAATTTATAATAGATTAGAATATTTTAAAAAAGCAAGATGAAAGGAAGCTTTATATAAACAATATTCTAAGTAGATATAGTATAAAAAAAAGCTATATAGTCTTATATATATTTAATTTATGGTATATAAACCAACTTCTAGATAACAAACAAAGAAAAATACTTATATGAAAGTAACTAAAAATAAGAAAAGAGAAAAAACATATAGATAAGAAAACAAAATAGTTTGAAATAATAGAAACAGAGTTACTAGATAACAGAAAAACAAAAGAGATAAAGAAGAATATAAAGAAAGGAATAGCTACTAATTTCAAGAAAAAGAAGAGAAGATTTTTGATAATAAAAGAAAAAAAGAATAGATACTTATAAAAGAAAAAGAGACAGAAAAAAGCAAAATAAGACGTATATCAAACAAAAAAAAATAGTAGAAGTTAAAATATAAAAAGAAGATTAAGAAATTTTACAAAAGAGAACAATTTACAAAAAGAATATATTAAAGGATATAAACTAAAAAAAAAAATACAAGCAAAAATTAGCATTAAAAGATGTATACAATATTTCAAGATATGTTTAGAAAAAAGATAATATACTACAGCTGACTTTTAACTAAAACTCGTTGAAAGAAATAAGAAAAGAAAAAAGAAAAAGCAAAGTAGAAAATTATAAAAAATTTAAGAACTTAGAATGAGTAGAAGTAGAAAGTAGCTGGGAAACAGAGCTAATCAAATAAATTATATAAAATAAAGAAATCAGAGAAGAACTTAAAAATAGAGTGAAAACAAACAGAAATAGGAAGAAGATAGTATTCTATATAGATAGCTTATTTGAAAGAAATGAAAGTAGAAGAGAAATAGTAATAAGATATAGTATAAACAAGTAGATAGTACAAATAATATAGTATTTAGTTATAAGAGAAAGATTCAAAATTAGCTATCATTTACTTAAGCAGAACTACTAGCTTGCTTAGTCACAGTACTCTTTATACTACAGAAATGCAAAGTAGAGATAAGAATAGACAGCATATATGCAATAGTAACAATTAAAAAGTATCTCAAGAATAAAAAAATATAAGAATAGCTAAAATCTAAAAACAATAATATACTCTGAACAATAAAGAAGGTATGTAAAAGTAAGCTAGTCCAACTAAGCTTTATTAAAGTAAAAAACTATTCTGGAGATTTACTTAATAACTTAGCAGATTTTCTTACAAAAGAAGATACATAAGAGATATATAGTACAAACTTAAGTAATATAAATAATAACAGTATAAGGTATATACTAAAATAGAAAAATTTTAGCTTAAAAACTCTACTAAGAATATTTATTAAGAGAGTAGTTCAAGTAATATATAAAGCAAAATAGATATGATTAAGAAAAAAAAAGATAAAAAGCACCAGTTTAGAATTCAAAAACAAAACTAGAAAGTATTCAAAGAGATTATTATCAATTGTTTAAGATTAAATATATTAAAAATCTTCTTCTAATAGTAGAGATACTAAACTGTAGAAAGCTATACGTCTATAAGGATAATATTTGTAAAAGATATATTAAAGAAAAAGAAATAAATATCTATCTAATTGAATATTAAAAAGCTCAAGTAGTACTCAAAGCAATATAGAAGAAAGTATAGAAACAACTCTCTGATAATAAAAGAAAAGAAGAATAATAAAATCTTGAAAGCTTCAAATAAGTTCTAAACAAAGTTATGAAGAGAAAATACAAAAGAGAATAGAGTAGATGAGAGGAATCCTAAGAGATAACATTGCTTTAAAAATATAAGATCTTATCAGCTTAGAAATAATAATGATCAAATTTTGGTATATATTTTAGCACAACTGAATAGACTTGCTCTATAAAGAAATCTAGAAGTATTATTATAAAGAAATAGAAATATAAAAGAAAAAAGAGAAAATCTTATGAAAAGAAAAGTATTTTCAAAAAAGAAAAAGAAAAAAGAAAAACAGTAAAGAGAATACTACAACAAAAAGCAAGCTATGCAAAAGTAATAAAATATTAGATAAAAGTAATAGTAATATTAGAATAGTTTTAAATAGTATAAAAAAAAAAAATAAAAAAGGATATTTTAGATATAAGGTAGTTATAATAGGTTATAGCATTTATACTCAAAAAGTCTATAACTACAAATTTGTAGTAATAAACTTTTGATATAAAGATCATTATAGCTAATTATATATAGATATCTATAGGAAAACTAAGTGAGTTAAGACTTAAAAAATTAAATATTAAAAGATACTAGCTGATTAATGATATTTTTCTATATATAAAAACAAATTTAAATAAAGTTTTGGCATAACTACTAAATAGAAAAAAAAATATTTGTTTGTTTTTTATTATTTTTTGTTATTTTTGATATTTCTTAGAGCTTTTATTATTTCTTAAAGATTTTTAGTTTTTTTTTCATTTTTTTCTAACTTTTTTATATTTTTTAGTTAACTTTTTAGTATTCTTTTGTTTGCAGATTTTATTTGAAGTAGATAGATTCTAATCTGTTACTTAACTAAAGTAAGTAAGTTTTTTTACAAGTTAGCTTCTTTGTATTGTTACAAGTAGTATAGCTTTCTCGATATACTCTAAATAATATAAAATATAGAAGAAGAACTCCTAACAATATTCAAATAAAATATTATATTACTATAGTAATTCATTAGTAAAAGTTTATTTTTAAAACAAAAGATTATATTTATTAAAGAACTAGTAGAGAACTTAGAACTTTATTATAGAACTATAAAAAACTACAAAACTGATTTTATAGGAAAGAGAAAAGTTGAGATTTATATAGTTTTTTAAAAAAAGTAAAAAAGTAAAAAAAGTAATAAAAGTAAAAAAAAATAAAAAATGTAAAAAAAAATAAAAAAAGTAATTTATTCCAATATTGCTTCTAAGATAACTCAATAACTACATATTCTACAGACATAAAATATAGCTTATTAGAAAAGTCTAATCAAGCTAAATCTAATAGTATAATTTAAACTATTTTTAGCTAATAAGTTATTAAGAAAAATAATAATAAATAAATCTAAATATATATAATAATTAATAATATAATAATTAAGAAAAATACTAAAACCTATTTTATAACAATATATAAATGTTTGTTATATAATAACATAAATATTGTAGTTTTATTAAGTGAAAAATATTTATTATGTAACTGTATTGTTTTTTTTTTTTTTTAATAAATAAGGTTTTTATTATATATTATTTTTCAGATTTTTTTTTTTAATGATAATGATTTTTTTTTAAAAAAATCATCATTATGTAATAACTATCGATACATAACGATGATTTTTTTTTTTTTTTTTTTTTTAATCCATAACATGATCACTATGAAACACTAGTAGCATACATTTATTATTAACTTACTAATTAATAAGGCCTTCTAACTTTTGTAAGGTCTTCTAAATTTAAAAATTACATGAATCAATTTATTAATTACTATCTCAAGCTACAATAGCCTATTATATTGTCCCAATTAAATCCTGATCAACCAGAATCTCACCAGAAGTATCCTTTCTAAGAATTCTGTTTTCAACCAGAATTTCACTAAAGGTATTCTTTATTTTCTGACTTGGCACCCTAGGTTTGTGACTAACTTTTCAATCGTGATTCTAATGCAGTCTTCATCCCCAGTATGACTCGAACTGACGACATTACGATTGGTGACCTGAGAGCACAACCACTACGCTATAGACCTCCGGGTCTTACGATGATTTTTTTTAAAAAAAATCATTGTAGTTATGTAAGAACAAATTTTTTTTAGAAAAAATCATTACGTAATGATAGCTTGTTAGTAATGACGATGATTTTTTTTAAAAAAAAATCGTCGTGTTATATAACGAATAATGATAGCAGATAGAGGTTTTTTTTCTAGTTATGTGATCGATTTTGATTGGTCGATCACGGGTCACCATAGCGATGGGTCACTATAAAATAACACCCTTTAATTAAAAATAAATCAAGAAAAATATTTTTATTAGCAGTAATTTTACAGATATTTCATCACTAATCAGGTAATAAAATTGGTAACTAATTGGTTAATTTATATTGGTCTAAACGTAATAATTCTGTAATGTATATTGCTGTATTGAACTAATTCAGAACCAGGACGAACTGGGACCAGACTGGACTGTACATTTAACATCTCTAGACATTTGATACTATGTATAAAATTTTTTACGTATTGCCCAAACTACGTATTGGGATTTTGAATTGGGATTTGGGACTAATTTTACGTATTATGTTTGAGATTGAGATTTTAGGACGAATTTTACTATGTTCGAGATTGGACAATTTTATTTAGGGTTCCAAACCGGTTTACAAATTCCTATCTGTGACCCGTCGGGTCAATCATCTTTCCCAACCGGGTCAGAGTTTGGAACCCTAATTTTATTATGTTTGGAATTAAGGATTAACGTTAATCAGAAAAATTGCTGGTTAATAAAAATTTTTTCACAGCTATTTTCATTGTACTATACAGTATATACCGATACGTAGTTACTTCTTTTTATTAATAAAACCATTTACAAGACCTAATTGTGCAAAATGATATTTTTACACAATCACATAACAGTCTAATTAATTAAAAATTACTTTGCGAGGTACATAAATAAAGCAACCAATGAAATTTTAAGGATCTACAACCAATCTTTTATCTTTCTCGTCGTTTTCGAATTCATGCTAAATATTGTATAAAGATGTCAACGATTCACGTCGTAATTCATTTTCTGGCACCTATAGACAAAACTTTCACCTTTACTGAACCAGATAGCCTTGAACTTGGTCGTTCTTCCGGGATTATTCAGGATCAAGCTATAAGCAAGAAACAAGGTTAAACTTTGACTTTACTATGGTGTTTAAATCGTTTATCTTAGTAATTCTCGGTGTTATTATCATTCTTGACGAACGATTGAGCTATATAATGTTTCTTATCTTTTAGTTCTATTTGAAATAGTAGATGGTCGAGTTTATGCAATAGCCGTAATTCATTGAAATTTTTTTTTTTACCACTTTTATTTTGAGAAAGAGGATGTTCGTGTTTCCAATCTTACAGTGTATATATATATATTTTTTAATAAAAGCTTGGGTCAAATTCGATGATGAGAGGTCCTGAAAAAATTAGTAAAAATAATAAAATAGAAATTCATGATGGAGAAATTTTAACATTAATGCAGGCAAGCCTATTTCTTCGAAGATCTGCTTTATCTAAATATTTAATAAAGTCGTTTTTTTTTTTTTTTTATGTGGTGATAGAATAAATATCCATTTAAAGTAACAATCACAAAGTTGACCAACTCTTCATCAAATTTGCAAAATTCATCACTGGATAATATTGAGAGTCAAAACTCTGCTATTATAAAAGAAGGTTTTTCATCTTCACTTCTTCATAATAATGATGATCATGAGTATGACGAATTGGAAACTCCATCTCAGCTTTTACGAGAGATGATTTCGTCACAAGGTGATCTTGACATGATACCAAATGATGATAATGACAACGCACTTTATAATGATGATAGGGAGTCTAGTGATAATGGTGCTGAAATTCATGATAACGAGGATGACGCTAAAAGTGTTGCATCAGATAATAAGATGTTCTCTTCTGAATCTTCATACTTGGGAAGTTCATGTGAATCTTCTAAATCTGATATAGAGGGTTAGTTGGATGTATTAAAGTAAAAGTAATCTATGATGATTTGTATATATGGGGTGTAATCTATTAAAACAGCCCATTTTTACAATTTTTCAAAATTTTTTTTATTTGATTTTTGAATAGATATATATTTAATAAAAAAGTTTGTCTAAGTTACCAAAGCTAGAGGTCGGAACCGAATTATGAAATTCTACTTCAACTTCGGGTTAAACCGGTTTAAATAGTAAATCGTTTTGTAATGTTCTAATTCGGTTGTAACCCTCCGACAA